CCCCCCCCCCCCCCCATGGCTGCTCCCAACCACCCCAGCTCCCGGTACATTAAAAAAAAGCTCACTGGGTGATGCTGGGCAGGGGGCGATCCCTGCTACCCCCCACTGCATGGGGGGCTCTGCACAAGCCCCCCAATGACCCCTGCTCCCCCATCCCCCACATGGGAGCCCCGCCTGGGCCAGCTCCAGCCCTTTAAGAAGAAAAAAAAAAGCCAAGAAAAGCCCCGGGACAGCAGGGATCACTCCCGCCAGCAGGAGCAGTGAGTACGGGGTTTTTTTCATACAGTTTACAGAAAAACTGTATTAACTGTATTAATGTGGCACTCAGCCAAGGCTAATTAGCCCTGGGCGATGTCTGGACTGCCTTCTAGCATGGCAGACTGTCATGTTAACACAGCTATGCTGCAACTAGAACCTTAGTTGGCTTGCTCCATGATAGCTTGGATATTTCTGCACTGTACTGCGCTATGCTCTGTATATGTATCTTGAGTGGCTAAGGGGAACAACAGGAAGTAGGTTGGTGCCTGTGACAATTTGCAGCAGAGTTGGAGGAAGAGGTGTACAAGGGATTCTCCGGGCCTCTGCTATGTGCTTTGGCCATGAGAATAGCTTTGTTTTGTGTTAGAATAATGAACTAAGCCCAAGGAAAAGGATGTGATCCAGCCTCTGACTGTGAGGTCAGCTCCATCCCCCAGGCTGAAAAGAATGGCCAACATTTTTTTTACCTGTGCATTAATGCCATACTTCTGTGAGCAACTCAACTCCATCAACCCCCTTTATCATGCCACATGTTATAACTCCACCAGGAAACTGACTAGAAAAAAATCCTCAAATTACCAATGACTTCAGTTATGAGGCAGAATGTTTCAATTTAGTTGTAAAGATGTTGAACTGAGTTTTAAAAATGGATTATAACATTAAAACAGTAATAAAAAATAAAGTTTGATAACACAAAGGGACAAAACATTTCTTGCCAAATGCACTACAGAGCACAAAGGGAACCTTTTCCAATTTCCAATAATGTCAATTTTGGCCAAATTGTAATCAAAATTAACTCATCAGTTTTTTTAGCATTGTGGGATATACTAGTCCATTAGATTTATTCTCATTACACATTAAAGAACTAAAAGAAAAAACTGTCTGCCAACACCCCGATTATCTTATTTTATATTACCAAATAAATCACATTTCAGTTAAGTGCAGACATTTGGGGGGGGAGGGGAAGGGCAGTTAGGAGGAGGTTAAATAGGATTCAAAATGACTACCTGATGTAACTTAGTTCACCCCGGTGTGGATCTTACACTCAGACTTAGTCTCAGTGATCGGAAATGAATCTAAACCCAAACTAGGTTAGACTGGGGCATGTACAGTTACCTGCACAGTCCTGGGGCTGAGAAAGCCCAGCTGCCAACCCAGCTACAGAGTTGCACTTTTCACATTCCCCTGCCTGGCACTGATCTATTTTAACACCCCCACCGCAATCCCCTACTACTCCCCCATGGACCAGTTAGCTCTCTCTATACCCCAACCTGCATGCCACCCTGGGTGCCACTGCTTTTTATCAGTGTTCACTGCTGCTGGGAGCTGAGTAAGTAAATCCCAGTGGGGAAAGGGGTGGAAGAGATGGGGGTGTAAGTTTTCTGGAGGGATTGGGGGCTAAAAATAGCTCCTGGTCACCCCCAAACCCCACCAAGACCCTATAACCCATCCTGATCCCACAAAACCCTTTTGGACCCCAGCATTCCCCCGCCAGATACCACCTGCTCTACCCCACCATTCCCACTTATATGCTGCTTACATCTCTGATCCCAGAAATTGCTCTTGCAGATACCATCTGTCCCTACATCCCCCCCACCCCAGACTCCCAATCCCTGCCACGAGCCTGCTTGCCTCTACCCTCTC